GCGCTGGTTTTAGGCACCAGTCCGAAAGGGCGTGGGTTCGAATCCCACCACTGTCAATACGTTTTGATAGAAATTCACCCCACACATTCCAGACAAATCGGTAATGGTGAGTTGCAGATGCAAGATCACGCCGTTACTGGTAATGCCTGAATGGAGTAATAAATCCTCTGATATATGACATTACCTGTTTATACCTCGTAAGAAATGTTTGTTGCATTTGAAGCGGCCAAAATTGGTGTAGAAAATTATGAACTGTATTCGGAATTATTTTTCTCAGTGATTCACGTGGCATGGATGTGGACGATGAAGATAAAATTCCCACCCGCTTTTTTGCTTGTTCGTCTTAATCATTCAACTATTGTGTTGGTGGAATTATGTACCTCGTGGTTCGGCCAAATGTTACGTAAATTTGGTACACACGAGAGTTTTTCGAGTGTTCGGGCTCCTTGATCAGTTAGCCCGATTGACCGCAAACTAATGAGATTGCGTGCGGATTAAGATGGTGATAAAACAAGACATTGGTTCTCTCGTTTGTGAGATTCTTTCACTGAATGTGTGAGACAAACCCAGCTCATGTGTCAGCTGGGATGGGATGCGTAGTCGAGTGGCTGAAAAAGTTTGAGAGAAGGCAGGATGACCTGCTAATCACGTTGATCTGATTCGCCGACGACAATTTTCGCGCTTTGATTCGTTGGTTCATCATGTAGCCTCAGTCCCCACTGAAGATTCCCTTTTTCCACTTTGTGTTTCGGTAGATGGAACGTTCCGGATACGTATGAGCCATGAATTTGGCTGACAGGCAAATGTATGGAAATAACAGAGCCTGAAGGCCAAGCGCATATCGAAATGGCTGTGGTTCTTGTCCGTGAAACCTCCGTACAACGTGTGGGACACATCTGTATCTGCAAAGATTGAGAGTGGGATGCTTTAACACCAGGGATTTTCAGTTGTCTTCGCATAGTGTCATAGAGAACGTCATCTGCGGCAAGCAAGTTGCCATGACGAGTATTCATCTCGGACTTGGTAGCATGTAGACTGCCTTCAGGGGTCCCGAAAAAATTCAGACAGGTCTTTTAAATTGTACAATGATTTCTACACAAACATTTGAAGCGCAGATGAATCTGAGTTGATAAGCCCTGCGTTGCGACCAGTCGTGAGCGTCCATAGTTTTTTTCATTTACTCTATTTAATATCTGACTGCTGTTCAGCTCCAGTGTGCAGTGCAGAAAAGAAGACTCACTGGTAGAGAATACAACAGCTTTATTGCAACAGGCGATTGTATGCAAGTGCATGCGAATGCACAAGTTATAATTGCTCCTCGCTATTTAAAGGAGGCTTTTGACGTTGAATTAGGCTATCTGATAGGCGTTTAGTGAACACCGCTCAACATCGACCATGCTTCTATGCCTGAACGCTGAGCATAGTCGTTCGTGCTTCTGTGGCGTGCCTGAACACTCATCGGCTTTTGCTGAATTAATTGAGTGATTGACTGGTCTGACTGCTTGAGATTTTAGTAGAGTTTTAGGGTCTCACTTAGCTCCGGGCGTTCTGGGGGTTATTTTCAGAAATTTGACCTTCCTGACACCTTACGAATAGTGTGTTGGGTCGAGAATATTCGTTGCTCTTATAGGACGCTCGAACTTATCTAAGTATTACTGGTTCTAGCTTCAACGCTGGTAAACACTGTGACATATATACTATGAACAGTATGTTGCCCAGTTTAATTTCAGCAGCCACCATATCGAGCCCAGTATGGGGAAAGGTAACCCAAAAGATCAATTGTGTCGTTGGGATAGTGAAAACTAAAGAAGAATCCATGGTGTTTGTAGAACTAGACGAAATCCAACTTGGGACAATTGGGGCGGCTATCGAATCGTTTCACTATAGATAATATGCTATAGTTCTAGTTTATTTGCTGGCAAGACTCGGAATCGATCGCGAAACACACATTGGTGAGTCAGATCTCACACCTTCCACTTTGAAATCTCCGTCGAAATTGAGTGCGATGCGACTACTATGCACTTCACGAACTGGCAGAACTCGGAATCGATCGCGAAGCACACCTTGGCGAGTCAGATCTCACAACTTCCACGTTGAAATCTACGTTGAAATTGAGTGCGATGCAACTAATATGCAATTCACGAGATTGTGTGAGATTGGGCAATCGCTCTGAGGACTCACGATAAAGCCTATTTCTTGCTACCAAGTGCTTTGTACCTGTCGTCTTCTGTACTTTCGTGTGTTGTCTTTTCACATATTGTCCTGCGCTTTCCTGACCCTATGAGTTCAAACGACTGAGGTGTTCGGTGAAATATCACTCCAATCTGATACCCAGGGTCACTCTCAAATCATTAGGCTGCTCAGAGTAGTGTCGTTTTATTGCTGGTGCTTTCGAACCGCATATTCCTTCTCCTGAATTACGCAAAGAAGCAGCACAACAGTGCGTACATACAATAGATTTTTCTGTTTCTGAATATATTTCCCATAGTCTCTTTTGACTATCATACCCACCCGAATCCTCTTTGCGTCTGGCGCATTTCAGGCGACACCACCTCGGCTTGTGTACTGTTAACGGTTGTCCAAAGTCTTAGACATGGTTAACGGTTTGCTGTTTTTTAAATTTTGCTTGTTAATCCTCAGAGTTTTTAGGCATGTAATGTCGGACATACATGAAGATTAGTCAAGCCATGACGCCACTTTATTCAAGCGTATTCGTATGTGTAAATAACACTTGAAAGGCGTTTAAACTTTTCAGCTACAACATCAGAAGCTGGAATGCCGTGATCCGTTTAACGGGCGAACCGATTACACACACACACACACACACACTGGTGCCCAGGCTTGTCAGTGACGTTCGGATGAACGTCAGTAGTTTGTTCGGTTATTCAAAATGTACCCGGTTAGGCTTGTTCTGGGGGAGTGGTTGCATTCACTCCTCGAGTAACTTAGCAAAGGATGTAAAACAACATATCTCCATCACTGAATGAGACTTCAGTAATGTGACTACATACTGCTGACAGGAAGCGACTAACTAGGCAAGTAAGCTGACCTACGTAGTTGTGATATGAAACCTGTAGTCACACTATGTCTTATTAATCGAATATGACATCGGATTGCCTCAGAATGATAGGCCTGATGGGATTGCATTTGTCTTTGCGTGCTGAAGTTAACTCTTAGGATATAGTGGGACCTCGTAAGAAGTAATATTTTTGAGAACTATGCGTCATCGTGTCTATCAAAGGTGTTGCTCCATAACAGAGATGACTGACGTAGCAATAACGGTCATCTAAATTTTGCGTGCGCGAATATTTGCGAATTCTGACAGCGATTTCATCCTACAAGTGAATCCAATCTATGCTGAAAATCTTAGACGCACTGTGGAGCTGTTTTACCATTCCTTGGGATTATCAGCAGTGCGTATCTCACATCAGGGAGTCCCGAACCCCCAGTCCCCAGGTAGTATTTGAACACAGGAAGGTATAGTTTGTACAACCTTGGATTGTGCCCTCTTACTATTGGTTTCTAAACCCAAAAGGCTCAACATACCATTTGCCACATGACTTGAATGGCAATGAATAGGTCGTCAAAACCAAATAATGTAAGCTCTGTATTCACATGAACTGAAAAATGTGCTCACGCATCTATACATAAGTGTTCCATGTTCAGTAACTAGCTTGCGACGGTCGGATCAGTTTTGACGGCACAACCATGATGTCAGAGTTAGTTGGGGTGATCTTCAGGAAGTGAGTGACAGCGACGAATGGTTACCGAAGAATAGCAGCTAACTATTTTCAACTCTTTTGAAAATGCAAGATTTTCGAAAACGAAGAGCTCAAGTTCGATATCCTGCGATTGCGATGCGTCGTGCGCGCGGTGCTAAGCCATTCAGATTGTGCTGCAGAAACCTGGGCAATTAGAGAGGTGATTTTGGAATGACGCCTTTTGGGATCATCTTGACATTGACTTGGTGGTATTAGGGGTTGTTTGACATATGTGCCGAAAGACGTCATTTCTTCTAGATTGTTGGCAGTGTGGTTGAAGTCACTAGTGTAGTTCTCCATTTCGTCAGATATGGAAGGAAGTGATTTTGATTCCTGTCTAGCAGTAGAATGTCCGCATGTCATCTGGAGCTGGTTCTGGTGGAGCGATTTGGATCGAAGTAATCTGGAATTGGATAAACGGATTGTTGAGTTGGTCGATCCATGTCGTTTAGCTAACAAATCTTACTACTTATCAAAACATCAGTAAAATAATGGCAAGGAAAAAACAAAATTCGTCGGATTTGGTTTCCATAAGAGACTCAACTGAATCCGCTACTGATATTCTTCTTCCATACAGGATGTTGCCGCTTGTTTCAGTTGATAGGAAGTCTGAGATAGCGTGTCGAGTATTCTTGGCGGACTGCACTACTTATACGGTTCCTGCAAACGAGAGGTTCAGTTGGGTATCGAATTAAAATCGAATTAGTTTGTGAAGGAGTGCATTTTGTCGGTCGTTTACAATTCGATTACGAGTAGAACAAAAGTTTGGCGGAAAATCTACAGCTGAAAATATTTGGTGAGATTCAATGAGAGCGAATCGAATTTTGTCTGTCGGAATTTTTCAGAAATCTTATGAGTAGTATGTTCCGTCGAGGTATAAATATGTGGGAAATAAAAACGGAAGAACCTGTCAGGCGTTGATATTCTAGAACACCAATGTCACTGAAGCTTCAGCGTCATTGATGGATGTTTGTATCTTCATGTGGCCGGGAGGGGATCCGTGTTTGGCATGGCGTTTTGAAATAAATCATCATCGCATGAGGTTCGTTGAGGGTCTTTGTGTCGCAACTAATCATGAATTCCAAGTGAAGGGTTTATTGCTGGTAAATCCGGTTGACTGTGCATTCCACTGATTCGAACTGCTTAATTTGTGAACTTTCTTTTCTTGAAATTTGTAGGTGATAAGCACGAAGTAGACCACATTTGCTTTAGAAGAAGCGAAGAATTGCTTACTTTTTCTCACCTATGTTGGTCTTGCTTGGTATCTCCTTCGACTGCGGAAGGGGATGGACTCCAATGGGTTGGAGGCTGCACTTCGGATGAGTTATCATTCCCTTGTAACTGCAGTGGGCCAGACGATGCCTGTCTGCTCGATTGAGATTGCCGCTGTGGGGGTGGGGGGATAGGCTTTGGAACAGAAGTAATTGGAGTTCCCAACATCTGCGATTCCGCATCTGTGGTATATGGTGAACTGTCGGAGACAATGAAGGGAGAGTGTTTGTTCCACGGGCTTCTGTTATCATCTTCAGTGGACATTGGTAGGATTGGGCCGAAATTCCGGGTTGTGGCCAGTGATTTTGTTTGTGGATCATGGGAAGGAAACAGGCTATCTGAGTATGCACTTGTGGATCTTGGAAGGTTTATGGACCCAAGGGTTTTCATTGGAACTGATTGACCGGGCCACAACCCAACTTGATCGTCTGCAAAAGGCCTTGATGTGATCGGGGCTTTATGAACAGGTTTGAATGCCTAAAATTAAATGCACAAAGTTATACTAGGGTTTTGTAAAATGCAGAGATTTCAGGTTGACAAAATGAATAAACTACGTTCCACTATCTAGGAGGAACTTTGTTTTCTCGTTAGAATCACCCCGAATCATGGGACACGGAAGAGTTGATATTTCCATTGCTAGCTTCTGACAACAAAGCATTGATTATCATAGTCAGGTGACAGTGTCCCCCAAGGTCGCGTGTGAGATATGTCGGACGATGTGGCGGCACTTGGTGGATTCCATTGAACGGTTCGGTCTGGCTAATCAGGTGACAGATCATAGCTCCAATGTAACTATTTATTACCACGTACTCAGAATAATGAAACAAAGTAGATGGCTGACTGGTACGTGGACGCACATCTTACCGCTTGAATCATAACACTCATATGAGATCTAATACATATATGCTTACTCCCTTTTTCCAGGTGACTCAAAGTCAACCGTTCGATTGGGGGCTGGTCGATAATGTAGCTCACTCAATTAACAGGCTCTTGCTGAGACCGTGAGACGTTGTTATGATGTAGATAGTGTCGGATTGGTTCATGGCTGCCTCAGTTGAAATCATGTTGGCAGAAGTTCTCACATGTATCTGAACAGTGCTCCAATCAGGTCTGCTCGGCCTTATTGCTTAACCCTGGGTCTGACCAGTTGTATGGTTGCTAACTCAGCTGAGTAACATTTGAACACAAATATTTAATCATCAAGCTGAGTGGAACTTTGATGGGGACCCACTTTACAGTTGGTTCATTCGTGTTGGGAATCGACGGCAGTGTGCAAATCACAAACCATCGTACACACCGAAAAATTTATGCTTCTATCACGATAAGTCAACCAGCGGTAAGATAAACGTTTATTTAGACATCTTAGAACACTAACCTCCTGTTTGGTAGCCAACGTCAAGCGATCTGATGCTAACTAAGGCCACGGTGCATCTGGAAGGGTATGAACGACAGCATATCGTCTCCGTTTCGAAAGTTCTAGCGGTTAATCTGTTCCAGTTTATAACTGGACAATCATCTGATTTAGATTGCTAGCCAACCCTGTATAGTAGAGAACGCTCAACTATCCCCGGCTTGAACATTGCACCTGCACCAAAACAATGAAGTTGGCCAAACGTACAAGAAACAAAAAATTAACACGGGCTGTAATTAAAAATCACAAAGGTAACAAGCCGAGTTAATGAGCACACACCGTAATCTGTCGTTCGACTCCACAATGAGAGCATGAATATAACATGTAAACGGAGAATTTCATTACACTTCATCCTAACATCGGTAACGTCCATCGTCTTTTACTAAAACAACGGTTATTAACGCCTTTTTTTGGAATAATCAGGTGCTGATTTATGAAAAGCACTCATCAGGTTTTGAAATGTTGTTCAGAGTTCCGCTTACCTCCTGCCGATTAGCAAGCTGAAGAAATTCGTCATATTCCGCGTCAGTTTTTTCTTCCCCAGCTGTTCGAGCTCCGTTGGTGCTGCTCTGATAAGACACAACACTATTTACAGGAAGGTTTGTCCTCAGGCCATTGATTCTCGGAGATATATCAGGTTTGAGCTCAACTTCTGCGTAGGTGGAGAAGGACCTTGGTATTCGAAACGGGTTGCCTGAACTAGGTATCGGACGAACTGAACCGTTGCGCACGATTGGGGAATCGCGGCCCAAATAATGTTTGCTCAAGTTACTGCTCTCAGAAGACAGATCACGTTTACCGATTACAGTTAGTGAGGTGGAGTTGGGCAGGTTGTTGGGGGGCGTGGCAAATATGTGTTCTTTCTGAAAAGGAAGTTCACTCTTTCTGAATAGCCTTCATACAGCTTGATAGAATACGATCGATAAACACACTATACAAAATCAGTTGAAAAAGACTGACACTTCTTAGCAGGGTTTTACGCATGGCCGTGTTTGGCATTGCATGATCGGTCCACGTACTTGCAGTTACCAGTAGATTTCCGCAGTCAAGCTATTTGTCAATAGGGAACATGGGTGCTTGAACAGTATGACACGTTTAACCCTAATTAGAATGTTTATTTCACTGGCCGACACTTTATCGGTAAATTCTGATGGCTTGATTAATTCCATTTCGTCCAACTTACCAAAGTTCTCCTCGTCTCGGGTGGTTGTTTTAACAACGCAGTGACTTGCATCCTTTCATCTGTGTTGTAAGTAGTATGTATTAGGTGAAATTTCCTTGAAGTTTCAGGGGGGTTTGGTAAACACTCGGTGGATTTATTTCTGGGCAACTTTTCGCTTTTGATACAAAAGCTTCGTCAGGCCAAGTGAGTAAGTAATTGGGTTGATTGAGTTTTAAGGCAGTCAGGGACTGGGTGTTCAGTGTGATGTTCCTGTTTGTTGGTTAGTGGGGTTGACTAAGATTTACGATAGATTGGCTGGGGGGATTCGTTTTTATGATGAACCCGGATTTTTTCGTCCTTGCTTTTTCAGTCTAGGACACCTTAATGGAAAATTCCTCTTGGGGTCGTTCACAGATTTCGTTCACTTGTGTTCGTCAAAGGGTGCCTAGACAATTGTTTTGGGGATGTGGATGGGATGGTTAATTGGATCTAACTGCACTTGGATTTTGTACTTTTAGACACAGACCATTTCGCTGATAACTGCACACCGCCTCGTGTCATCTCGGCTGATCTAAGACCGCTCTCCACACGTTTGCAAGTTCATCCCCTCTATTGTATTCACACTGGGATGCTTGGCGAATTCCACCACCTCGGCCACCAGTCGCTGTGGTGTGAATCTTAAACCCCGTCTCAGGATGTCCACATTTTCTAAATCTATTCTATACCCAGTGTCTAGAGCACGCCCTGCCATGGCCGAATCTTTGACTAACGCCTGGTTATCATCTACATTTCTCTGTGGTCTATTAATGGAACGCTTATGCTCACCGATTCTGGTGTGCAATTCCCTGGCTGTCTGACCTATATAAACCTTCGTACAGTCATTACATTTTATTTTGTATACACATTTCCTAGTCCTATCATCTGGAAGACGATCCTTCAAATGCACCAACACCGAGCGTAAAGTCTTCCTCTTCTGGAAAGCTACTCTAATGTTAGCCGTATTCAATACCCTTCTAATGACCTCTGATGTTCCTGTTTTGTATGGAATGACCGCTGTTCTGACCCACTCATTGTTGGGTCTTGGTTTTGGCACCAATACCAGTCTTAGTTGCCGCCTAATTAAATTCACTGGGTATCCGCTATCTTCAAGTCTCTTTTTTACCTCAAGTTGTGCTGGTCTTCGTTCGACCTCCTCCGTACACAGTGCTATCACTCTCCTAAACATCGCTGAAGCAATGCTAGCAGATGCTGCTTTTGGATGTGCAGAGGAGTAGTTTAAGACCGCACCGCTATCTGTTGATTTCCGGTATACAGTGGTTTTTAATTTCCCACCACTTTTTTGTGTCATGCAGTCAAGGAAATGTAGTGTACCCGTTGTGGACTCTAGCTCCATGCTAAACTTAATGTGAGGGTCCAAAGTGGTTAGATATCGAAAGAATTCGTTCACCTTGTCCCGCTTTATCACAACGAACGTGTCATCTACTTGACGCCAGAACACCCTTGGTGGACACTCGAACCCGTTTAAAGCTTTCTGCTCACAGGCTTCCATGTACTTGTTGGCCAAAATCGGGGATATTGGTGGTCCCATCGCTAAACCTTGTTCTTGAGAGTGTATAATTGAGTCAAAAACAAAATGACTGAGGTTTAGGCATACCTTTATGCCTTCAACTATCTCGTCTACGGAGAGTTGCGTTCGTTCTGGCAGAGTTGTGTCTGCCAATAAAAGCCTTCTCGCTACTTCCACAGCGTCCGCTTTAGGGACATTGGTATACACCGAGTTGACATCAGAGCCAACCAGGATTTCGTCTAGCTCTAACTAAAACCCAGCTACTTTTTTTTTAGCAAAGTCATACGAATCTTGAATGTGTGTGGGTGACTGGCCGGCAAGTGGTTTAAGGATACCTTCTAGAAATCTTGCCATTTCGTGTGGTGGTGAACCTATGCTATCCACTATTGGTCTCATGGGGACACCTTCCTTGCGAACTTTTGGTAACCCGTAAAGTCGTGCACTTTTTGGGTACAATCGATACCACGCCTAGCATATGGGATAAGGATTCTGTAAAATGTTACGTGGTAAAATAACTCTTTTGCTGGAAATGTGGTAGGCTTTATTTCAAGTGATCATTCAGATAAGGTGTGGAAGTTGAACTAGTAGAGAATTAGGACTTGCAGTCCCAGAATTTTGGTGGTAACAGTTGAAAGCAGATGACGCATTGTAGAGTGTATTCCATCGAAAGTGCTGCACGGCTAGTAAACAGGGCAGGTTCGTTCTTGATTGGTGGATGATGTTTACGGCTTTTACTCATCAACATTTTAACAGGCTTTTAGTTTTGACAGCTTGGATTCGGTCACTGGAGCGCCCTTCATTGTATCCAGTGGGTGTAGTCCCACCGAAAGCTCCGAGTATCAATCACTTAATTCTTCCAGGTCGATATCACAAATTTACCGAACAGCAGCGGCTGAGTGTTTCTCAGTCTGTCTCAAAAATCGGTGAAGATTTTGATGTACTGACCTGAACTGACAAAGCTTTCATATCAAAACCAAAACTACCCCAAAGGATAACTCGAACGGTTGATTTTAAAAAACTTTCGAAAACATTATGTTGCAATCAGACCCGAATATCACTCAGCAACTAATTGATTTCTCAACTTCATCGTAGTTGCTTGTCGAAATGTTGTAAAAAATTGTAGCACAAAAGCATACGACAAACTGATCGAACTTTTTGCGGCTTTATTCGGCTCAAGTTACTGAATTAACAGATAAAACGACACGGGGGACAGGGGTAGACCTTAGCAAAATGCGGCAATCTTATTCATTGTTAGGCAGCTTTACTGTGTTCCCCTATCAGCCGGGACCTGCTGATGCACTTTCTACATTCACCCTTCTGGGACTTGATGGGGAATTTCACTTAACTTGACTCCAGCTTGTTGACCAATGAAAAAGGCAGTCGAGCTATGCACTATGTTCGTGCACAAATGGCAGGGGTTCATGCCTCATGGTACAGTCTACTAATGTTCCACTGCTCATAGTCAATCTATACGTGAATGTCATCAAGTTGTGAATGAATACAGTGACAGTTGGAAACTACCAAGAGTCGTTCCAAAATTAGCCTATGGACTAAGAATTGGCATATCAAGTTCCTGTTAGCTCACGTTGCCTGAGCAACGTCATTCACATGCCATTTACCAATCCTCGAAAACGACTAACGATGACTGGCTGCTATTTGCCCTTGGATGTCAACATTTAATTGGTGGGTAAAAATGATTGAAGGCAATCTAAAAGGTCACATCTGTGTCAATCGTACTCGCTAACAGAATCTGGCTATGTAACTACGTCCTAATTTAACTTGTACGGCCGATGGAGTTTCACTAGCCTGCTTAGTCTGATTGTGCTCTGGTCTGCTTCACTCCGTGACCCAATATTCTGCGCATAATCCAATATTTTGAAACAATAGTAACGGCAAATGCATCTGAATATCTAGGTTAGTTTCGTCCGGTATCAATTATTTGTGGCATATTAGTCAAGATGAGGTATCAGAGGAAGTTATCTTGGTTTGCCAGCCTTAACATTGTCCTGCGGGTAATCACAGTCGCTTGAAATTGCACGAATCCATTGTACTGGATCAATAATCCGCTCAGAGGAAGGATCATATCACTGAATGCGTGAAACTTCCTTCTGAGAAGTCCTCAGTCGACGAGCCAATAAAAACATGACCACGTGATGTGGTTTCTGTTATTGCAGAATGAGTGGAACGATTTCCTGTCTAAACGAGAGCTAGTAACATTGCTGTTTAGCCTGTTCTGATCAAGCGGGCAAGTGTTCAACGGAGGATTTGGAGGTTATGGTTTCGAAAGTCTGCAATTTTTGATAGGTGCGCACTGCTGATGATTATAACAAGGAATAAAACAGCCATAAAGTGCTTCTCGGCTTTTCGACATAGATGGGCTTCACTGACATGGTAAAATCTCTGCTACCAGTCCACAAAACAATATCTATGCATATTCTCATTTTTCAGGCTTTCCGAAATAATACTCTGAGTCTTCATCTGAGCACACTATCTCCTTATACCGGTTTCTCGACTTATAGTAGTGGATACCAACTTTAAACTTCTCCCCTAGTTACTGTATATCCTCAAAAGTCGATCATATGGTATGCAAGATATCAGAATTAGCGTACCTACCAGAGCAAGCTGGCAAGTCCGAGCTTCTGAGTTTGAATGTATTCACTAGAGGCACCACCCCCCTTTAAAAAGGTTATCTTTTTTGATACGATAATTCGGGTGGTTCCAAGATTACATCTCAGGTGCAAGTGATGTGTTTTAGATTCATCTCACGAGTCTTGCCATGAAATGTGGGTCCAGCTGTTAACCACTTTTTGAAAACATCATCAACACCATCTCTTAAAGTTATTTAGTGGTTACTGTCACTCTGAAGCGTTCTACTTAGCTGAAAAAATTAGGCATATATACATGAGGTATACAATTTATCACCTAGTTTCCAAGAATGATTGTTGAAATCCAAGGACCTCCCTCAGATTTTCCAGTGTTATTGTGGCTCATCGAGTGCGCATAAATGATCCGCCATGCAACCACTGGGTCACATTTTTCTCAGCGCTAACCTTCCAATCATCAGCCAGACCTGGAGAGCTGATTAATCCCATTTAACTCAGTCTATTGGTAGTAAAAACTCTCATTCTCATTGTACTGACTAAGAACTGTACGTTACAAGCTCATATTTCAAACTTACCTCACTCTGATTACAACTGGTTTTCAACTGATGAACGGAGGCGGCAGTGCGGCCCAGGTTGACCGTTCCAAGAGGGGGTCCATGTAGGTCCACAGACTGTGATTGTTTAGCAGTTGTCAAAAGTTCCAGACGCCTCAGGCGGTCCGACATATGGTTCAGCCAAACACGCAAATCTCGATTCTGACGTAGCAGTTGACTTATGTACTGGTATGGGAGAATAGAAGCGGGACGATTCAATTTATCGAGAATAAGCGGCAAGAGGCACAAGACACCATCCAACATACCAGGTATTCGTATTAGTGAGCTGAAATAAGGCAATAACATGCGACGTATACGAAACTGATTCGAGCAGTGAACCACAGAATCCCCCTGTTGGTTGAGCTGACTCAACTGCAAAAGTTAACGCCGCTTCGAACCAATTTCTAACAGCTTTGAGTATGTAGTTCAGGGGAATCGACAGCCGGCAATCAAATGTCCTAAATGATGTACCGTACATCCTACCAATTTTATGAGTTTGTTTGGTTTTTGTGCTCCTCCGATAAACTTAAGGAAGTGTTTTGGACCTATGATTCAAATTAGAGCATCAATGATTGTAACAATCTTAAAAGACAACTCACTAGAGGAGAAGCTGCCTCTAACTACGCGACCAAAGATTGAACAGGTTAGTAGACAGTTAAGGTGGAAATCAGAATACCTGGTCTTCCAATGTCGGCTGTGCATCTTTACGAATTTTCATCAAGAGGGAGCCAATTTGGTTTGGTTGCGTGGAAAGCGCTGGATTGCCAAAAGCTTGTTTCTCCAGCGTTCCGGTGACTT